ACTTTTTTCCTTTTCTTTTTTTATTTTCCTTAATTTTCGGTTTTCCATTAAATATAAAAACCAGAAGACAATATCTGCAGGATTTTTTCGTGTTTTTTTTTTTTTTTTTTTTGTTTTTCGTATTTTATTATTGCAGATTACTCTTCACTACCCCAACCATCCAAAATGTTCAATTAACTTTTATGGAAATTTATAGAGTCTTTGACTTAACACTCAACCAACTTTCTCAACCAACGACGACAACAACGACGAATCTTTCACCAGTTGAGAAAAGAAAGAAAAAGATGCCGAAAAAAAGAAAAAGACATGCATGTGTGTACAGGTAAAAGAAAACGCAATGTTTATATACAACGTTACAGCAGCAACTCAAATAATTACAACAACACCAACAACAAAAATACGATCATAGAAATGGCAAATGTTAAGAAAATTATATTAAAAAAAAAATATATATATATAAAAATAAAAAAAAGAAAATAATAATAAATGCGTTAAAGATAAAGATAGTCTTATGGAAAAGAGAAAAATAAGTTATTAACCCACGGGGAGAGGAGCCATGATAGTCGCATTGATAGTAAGAAAAAATTGTTTTTGCACTTTTGAAAGGACGTTTTTAATAATTTTTTTCATTATTTTCATTGAATTTTTCTTACAATAATAAAAATTAAAAAAATAAATAAATACTGTATCAAAATCTATGACGAATCGCATTAAAATTAAAAGAAAATTTCAATTGCGATTCAATTTCATTTCGATTTGCTTGGGGCAAACCTTTCTAGGTTTGTTACCAAGTTTTCATGTAACTGTAAAGATAACAACGACAAAATGATTTCGCGCCCATTACTACATGATGCTTGGATAATTAAAGCAAGACAGTGTCCCGACAGATGAATGAATGCTTTGACTTAACTTGCTAGCTTAGCGAATACGCCACAGAGCCTTTATGCTTAAGCTCTTTTCTTTCATTTCTATCAAAAATTTTACTCGATAAAAAGTAGTCTCAATCTTGAATATATCTCTCATATAATATGTACACTGTTTCTCCACTTTTCATCCGCTAAATAAGAATCGAAAATTATTATAAGAAACATCATTTAGCGCGCTCGCCTTACCTAATACATGTTTCCGATTTTCATAGGGTCGTGCCTTTCAAGATATCCTATAGAATGAAGCGGCAAAATCTAAGCGGACCAAATGAATATGTTGTCTACAGAAGAATAATGTTATTAAGCTTTGGTAGAATAACATCAATTTTATGAAGAAAATAAAAATCCGGAGAAGAAGAACGAAAAAAGGACGAAAGTAATTGCCAAAAAGGAGGAAAAGTAATTAAAGATATCAATCATCAAAGGAAGTCGAAGAAAGAACGAGTGGAACTGTTCATATCGAAGAAAAAGGAAGAAGAGAGAGGCGGAAAAAGCTAAGAAATAAAAGCAAGAAAGAAAACAAGAAAAGTAATAACAAATAAATGCAACTGATACCCGCACGATTAAAAAGAGGATAAAAGGCAAATGGAATCGTCTGAAGAGAGCAAGCAAAAATGGAAAGAAACAAAGAAAGAAATCAAGGACAGTAGAAAGCGACAAGAAAAAAGCAGAAAGCAGAAAAAAGAAATCCAGGGAAATGAGGAGAAGCGAAGGGAAAAATATTCTTACTAGCCATAAATAACACACAGAAAGAAAGAAAGAAATAAACGGAAAAAAGCAGCCAAAAAAAAGCAATCAAAAGCAAAAAAAAACAGAAAAATCGGGTAGAGACCACGAAACTAAAAAGAGGAAGAGAAAAGAATAGAGAAAGGAAGACAAAAAAGAACAGAAAGAGGATGAAAGATGCGAAGCATATAGAAACAATAAAAATTCGGAGAATTTCACTATCCCGAATTTCGTTAAATCATCTCATTCCATTTGTCCGAGGCCATTACCAGCTCATATATAAACAACAAAAAGGGGATAAAAGAAGCGAAGCAAGAAGAAGCAATAAGAGAAGAAATCAGAGAAATCGAACTACCTCCAGAACCGTTAAATTATTTCATTCCAGTTGCCCGAGAACCGGAAGAAGTAAAGAAGTTCACCAGCGAACAGTTAGGGGCTTAACTTGTTTGCCAAGTTAGATGATTGGAAAGCTTTTGTTAAATCCAAAAGTGTTCAATTCACGATGCCTGACCACCCCTACGCAACATATTTTTAAATAATTTTTAATCGTTAAACTCATAAATTTAATTTTAAGTTTCCTTTTTATTTGTTTCTTTTTTCTTCTTAAACATTGTTCGTAGCAAATTGTTGAGAAAGAATTGTGGCCGCGTGCATGCCAGTGAATTGCTTTGCATTTATTTTGCGTCCGTGAAAATTTGCAGCAACAGGAGACCTGCGGACAATCTTATATACGGATACGTTTGAATTCGTTTGGAACTTGACATGAAGTGAAAGTACGTATATACTTTGCGATACCTCCTAAGCGAGTTTCCGGAAAAATTGGTATATTCCGGAGCTAGTTTTATTTGAAGAAAGCCGTCTTAATAAAAGCTAATTGAAAAGCGATTTCAAAATCCAAATATCTGAAACTCTACGTAAGTACAACGGGTAGAGGGTACAAGAAGAATTGTCATATATTTTTTGATGCAAGTAAACGACAGAAACCAAAAGAAGAAATAATTAAATTCTTAAGGCTTGTCTTTCTCTTTTGCGACGCACGTTCAATAAAATTGATGACGAATGTTGAAAAGGCGCGCACATTCGCGCCTATTCGTTAACTGTTCTAAAAATGACGTAAGTGTTAAGTCTTAGAAAGTTGCGATGGTTACTTGGCGCGTAACGAATAAAAGAAGAGAACGGACCTTTTAAAAATTCTCATCGGTGTGTACCAATTTAATACAGATAAAAACATAAGCAAATAAGCCAAAGTACAAAGCTATTAGTAGGAAATACGTCTCGAATTTTTTTTTTTCTGCAAATGAAAGGCAATCTCAAGCCAATAACAAAAGAAAACCGATTAATGTGCTATTTCTCAGCTCATCATAGAGCCTCCAGCTCACCATTGAACTCTAGTTATGGTTCCATTAGACAAGATTTTTGACTTCTTGTATCAACTTCAATAAAAAATGTCGTTTTGCTTGCGGCATTTTCCCTGCAATTATTGATAATTTTATGATCTTCTAGTCTTGGGAGGTTACTAATAGTTATAATACTCATTTTTTTTCTAATTTTTTTTGTCTCCTAATCGAAAGCTTCTCGTTCCGTCGTAATACATATATAGCCATCTATATATATATATATATATATACATATATTGCCATCGAAGACATGGAAATGTTACGCAAAGTAGATATTTTTTCTTAACCTACGAGCTAAATGGGAAGAGTCGTGTTACTCAATAGGTATCGGACTAATGTCTGCAATTGCAGTCAGCATCAAGGCCATATGGTACACTATGCTAAACTGCTACAAACAATTTACGGTCCAGAATAAATAACTTTTATTTTTTCGAGTAGAGGATCGGTTTTTCTACGAATCGATTCGTTTAGCCGAGGCCGCAGTAACCTTAAGTTGGATTTTTTTTTGTCTTCTTTATATAACCAATCAAAGGACGTCCTCTGTACCCGTAACATAGTGATGGTCAGGCAAAGGTGAAGACGGGAAGGGAAATAGGGATGCGGCCGCATCGTGCCGGGTGCAGTGCGCTCAATCAGCAAGTGTTACGCCTATATCAACTGAACAGTCGCTGAACATAGCTAAAGCCAAAGTAAAGTCTACAGTCTACTGTTTGAAGTGGCAAGTAGTAACTTAGTGTACGATTCTTACCTATTCGACTACTCTTGCGGACAAAACTGCGGATATAGTTGCGAATATACTCTCTGTAAATGATTTTATTGATAACTTGATGTGATTTGAATTTAAAGCCTTGAACAAAATTCTTTTCTTAAGTTTAGCCACTGATTAGAAAAATGCAAGATAATATGCAATAGCTCTTTGCAAAAAAATCTGACTTCCATCGCCACCAAAGGGTTAATTTGCTCATTTCATTTATATAAAATTTTAGCAGAGGAGCCGTATATTACTTTTATACTATATTAACGTTACAACATCATGTGAAATGCATGCTAAGGCCAACAAAGCGTTGGTGTGCAAGCTTAAGAGATTCGGTTGTCGAAAAATTATTTTTCCTTTCGGAAAGTTAAATAGATATCAACCAAGAAATGTTAATGGAAGCCTTACGCTAAGATTTGATCCACGCGTGCAGAAGTCTCAATATTTTTTAGGTCACTGAATATAAGATAATAATTTAATCACTTTTATTGTAATGACTTTTCGAAATCATTGTTGAGGGACGATAAATGGAAGTGAAAACTGTATAGATTTCTTACTACTTAGCGTTTTCTATGGAAGTTTAGGTAGAGAGCATTTAAACTTCGTTTTAAACCTTATTTGGCATTTTCTCGATTACCTTTTTCACTTATATTTTTCCTTTTTTTTTTTGGTTAAGAAATACAAAAACAATTCCGGCATGATAAAGAGCAAAAGAAATAAACCAAACTAACGAACGTATACGATACTTGGTAACAGCAACAACGACTACTTAGGCATGTTTCAGTCTAAAGGAAAAGAAGAAGTAGATAAAGACGAAGGCGAAGACGAAGAAGCAGACGAAGAATGGTGAAGAGGTGAGCGTCTGTATATGTGGAGAGACTTGAACACATGAAACTACATAAAGTTGATGTTGTTGTTTAAAGCTTGTTTCTTAATGTTTGTGTTTTTTTTTTTATATATATTTTGTTTTGTGTGCTGTTGTATATGTGACGATTAAAGATTTTTAATGCCAAAATAAATGAAAATAAATATAAATGAAAGAAAAAATTCGTTTAAAAAAAAGAGGCGCGAATTAATAACAAAATAAAAATTTAATAACATTTGATAAAACCAAAAAAAAACAAAACAGTTTACGTCTTGCAATAAAAACGGTTTAGAAAAAGCAGCAACAACAAAAAGGAAACGCTATTAACTTACGTAAGTTGCTGGTGAGGAAAATCACAGTTTGTTTATGATGTTTGTAATAAGGAACAGCAGCAGCAACAGCAACATTTGTTTAATGTACAATAAATAAATAAATTTAAGGCACTTTTTTTTTATTTTGTTGTTAAGGTTTCTTTCTCTTTTTTTAATAACTTTTATTGGCACTTTTTTTAATTTTAATTAAATTTTATTACTTTTACATATAAAAGAATTCACTTTTCTTTAAAAAAAAAAAAAAAAGAGAAAAATAAATAAATAAATAAAATAAAAATAAATGATCGGAAATCGTTTGCTTGACTATGGCAGATATTGTTAAGTTTCTTGTTACAACTTTTATCACATTTAATGGGTTTTTATTGAAATTTTCTTATAAAAAATTTTAGTAAATTTTTTCTTGTAATATTTATTTATTTTTTTTATTATTATTATTTTTTTTGTTAATTCACGAAATCACATACGACTCTCGTACTCAAGTAGAGTCACTGACGCTTAAACGTTATGTATTGAGCCGCGTTAACTCACAAGCCACTGCACCGCTGGAATTTTTGTTACTTTTTTCCACTTCTTGCGTTTTATATTCCTCCTCGTTGTTGTTGCTTTTTTTCTCTTGCTATTATTGTATTTATTGTTGTTGTTTTTGTTGTTGGATTGCTTTGGTACACAAACTGTTGACGTTTATTTCTTTTTTCTTATAACACCGAACACATACAGCGTGCACTGGAAGAAAAATTCTTCAAAAAGTTTTCTTAAACATTACACGATTTTTTTTTTTATATATATAAAAAGTATTCAATAATTAAATTTTGCATTAAACAAAAATTTGATATTTGCTGTTATTATTGTTGTTATTTCTATCTTTTACGTTGTTCCGTATTTTCTTATTTTCAAGCAGCGCTCTCTAGTGGTGAGTATTAATTTGTTATGTTTTCCTTGCCTGCTTCGTTTCTTATCTTTTGTTTTAACTTAGGTTAACATTACAGCATCACTTCTCATGAAAAATTAGCACTTTTTTTCTTCACTTACATACGCGCAACTATAGTTTGTTAAAATTATTACAATTTTTTTTCTCCCACATTGTGATATAAACAAAACAAAAAAAAAGCTGCTTTTAAGCAAAAGATTTTTCCAAAATAATATTAACCAAAAAAAACAAAAAACGGAAAAGAAATAAACGAAACGAGAAATTTCTAACGTTACGAGGGGAATATTATGGACTTGTTTGCGTCGAACGTATGAAAAACTCGTTGTAGACGGTGAACGTTGATGTTAAAGAACGTGTAGTCATGTAGATACCTAAAATTTACTAATAGTGTTCTCTTGTGCAACGCTCTACACGCTCTTTCTCTCTTCGCAATACTCACACAACGTTGGAATTTCCTTTCAAGTATTGGTAATTATACACACATGCTGAACTCAGGTGTTTTGTATGCAGGTGTTGTTATTAGCGTTATTTAGTTATTGTATGTTATATATAGTGGGAGAATTTTGTTGCATGTATCTCCTTCTCTCTTTCTCTCTTCCTCTGTCTTTGTCTATCTCTGTTTCTCTATGTTTCTCTCTCGTTCACGGTCTTTCTCTCTCATTCTCTTTCTATAGCAATGTTAACCATGGTAATAGTAATGGTAAAAAGAGTTTTGTGTAAATGCTTTTTATGGTTTCATCTCGAGACGACATGCCTTACAGAGCTACACACAGATATACACCGATACATTCTCACCTGTTCTATGTAAGATCTAAAGCAGTGTTAGTAAAGTATAGCATGCCTATGTACCTGTACACTTATTCACTTATCGGCTCACTGGCTAAACAAACGACATTCGGATTGTCAGTTCGTTGGTTAAGCCAGAGGTATATACATCACCACCACCACCATTACCCGTACCGTCAACAGCAACAGTAAATAAAATACGGGCTTAAATGTTATATGTATCACGTAAAGTCAACTAGCGTTTGTTAAGCACGCTCCCAAATCCAATGTTTGCTCGTACGTTAGGCAGGCAGGCAAACTGGCACTCTGGCAAGCAGCCGATACATCAAAACGACGAAGTAAGGAGTGTAATGTTTTCTGTGTTATTGCTTATAGCTGTAGCTGTGATCGTTATTGTGCGGAGTGCACATAGGAGTACATGTGCGTGCAACAAGCAGAAAAAAGTTAGAAAATAAATAAAAAAGTCAAAGAGTCAACAAATCTGAGATCTCAGAGACGTTGTTTTAAAAAACGGGGGGAAATCGAAATAAAGTCGTGTAAAATAATACCAATACAAAAGACTTAAGAAGCAAACTTCTGGATCGTATAATAACTTGACCACTTGGACTAGCGAACTTTGCAAAAAATATTTGACACTTTTTAAGCGTATTTTTTAAAAAGCCCAGTTTATTTTTATAAATATTTTTCGACAAGAAATTTTATTCTTTTTGCAAAATTTTTCAATAACTTAAATAAGGGAATTTTTCATATTTTTGAAGTATATTGAGTTTAGATTGTTTTTTAATATTTTTCAAGCAAACTTAAAGAAAAATATTAAGTAGTTATACAACCACTTTTAAATAATTTTACAAAAAATCTAGAACAAAAATATGTATATATTTTTTTTTTTTTGGTGTAATTTTGAAGCAATTAAAAAAGTTTTTTTAGGTAATATAAAACCATATAACGAAAAAATAATCATAAAATTCTTTTATGTTTATTGATTGTCAATATACTTTGTAAACAAGTTTGCAAAGTGCGGATTTAAATGCTAACACATAATTTGAATCATACACTCTTCTGTGTTGGAAACTCTACCTGACCTGGAGTACTTAGTTGCGATCCTTCTTTTTACATGTTTGAAAAAAATTGAATGCAATTTTTAAGATTTTCGAAGAAAGGTTTAAATTTTTTTAAGTCGAAAAAAACCAAAAAAAAAAGATGTTCAAGTACTTCACGTTATTTTGAAGACAATGAAAAGAAACTTAAAAAACTTTCTTACAAATTATTTTGAACGATTAAGCAAATAGTCGTGCAATATAAAAAAAAAATTAAAAAAAAAAAATGATTTAAGCAGTTAAAAAGGAAAACAAAATTTAAAAAACGTCCTTTTTTAACTTAAAAAGAAACTAGAAATAACAATATATATAAAAGAAAGACTTTTTATATACCTTAGAAGAATTTTGAAAATGTGTAAAAGATATTTAAAAAAAAAAGGTTTAAGCAATTAAAGGAAAAAACATTTTCAACAAGGAAGTCTGGTTGTGTCCAATTCATCAAGAAAGGAAGAATATTTCTAATCTGCCAATAAGCCTCTGCTAATAAGCCACTTGGCTTTTCATAATATTCAATTCAGCTCATGAATCGTTTTGAGATTCGAGTGACGGTTTTAAAACATATCAAAGCAAGAATACAATTTCAAATTTCTTTCATTAATATGTTCGATATTAGTCAATGCTAAAGGCGTCGCCAACTTTTTTCTTAACTACTACTTCTTCAAATCTTGTCCCGCATATTGTCCATTGCGTGATTCGAAAGCTATTGAACCTTTAATGGGTCAATATTTATATATTCATTCGTATGTATTCTCATTAATATTCACGCTGTATCTGCTGTAAGGCATAACAAGTAATTGCAAAATTTTACCTGTTCTGAGCGTATTAAGCATCATTTAAGAAGGCTTAACATACAAACTGCAATTCGCTCTAAAATTTCTAAAGATTACTAAACTAAAAAATCACGCCACGGCACTGTTTTCTGATTTTATATATTTTTTCCGTTTCTTCTTTTTTTACTTTGTTTTCTTTTCTCTTTTTTTTTTTTTTGCTGGTTTTGTTAACCACTACAGTAAAATCAAAGTAAAAGGGTAACATTGACATAATACAAAGCAACAGCACTACGACCATCAAACAAATGAAATTGGAGAAAAAAAAAACAATTTATACAAAAAAAAACCATAAAAAGATAAAACTACTACAACAGTACCTGAGAGGCATTTTTTTTTTTTTCAGTTATATATTTGCTCGGGACTCATACAGTGAATGTGTAAACGCGCACATAATACATAAACATTTGTCCAAAAGCCACAATACACATACATGACCAACACATTTTCAAGCATCAAGAGAAAGAGCAAAAGATAAACAAGCGCAAACGTTCTCAATTCACTTTGGCCCGCTTAATACAATAGATGCAATCAGCTAAAATGAGACAATCACTTACACACATGACTACTACGCAGCACATGTTTTAGATGCTCTTTCTATACAAATACACACCTACATAAGACAGAAAGACAAACAGACAGACATATAATAATCATCTGAGCAAAAATGAATATATCTTAAGTTCAACTCGCATGTTTATAAACACACATACACACGCACATGCATATAAGAAAACGGACGCAAACATATACACAAGCATCCGAACAGACGTTTATACAATTACCCTGCTGCGTCTTTTGGGACTGCATGCAGTTAAAACTTAACGTTGCCATAAAAATAGTTTTAATATTGTAAATTGTTGTTTGTTGTTGTTATCGCTATTGCTGTTGCAGTTGGTGTATATTGCAATTTTTTCTGTGCTTTTATTGTGCTCTATGTGAGAATGTATGGATTTCTTTTGTTGTTATTGTTGTTGTTGTTGTTCGGTTCACCTTTCCATTTTCAATGTTTTACTATTTATTATTAGGTTTCAATTGTTTTCTTCATTTCTTTGGCAGACTTTTATAGAGAGCTAAGCACAGCGCACAAACACATACCCATGCAAAACTTAAAATCTTTACACATAAATTTTTTTATTTAACAATAAAAAATTCATAAGATTTAATAGTTTTTTACAAATGTAGTGAGTTAACCAAGTCGTTGTGTATGCGCAGCAATACAACTAAACAATACCTCGGTAATGTTGATAACTGTAGTGCTACTGCTGGCGATGGCGGTGGTGGTGGTGGTGGTGTTAGTTAGTATTAGTGTGTGATTTGTTAGTTAATAATAAAAATGTGTGCTGACACAGGCGCTCGAAATAGAGTAGAGTAGAATAAAGTATGGTATCGAGCAGTGAAGTGAAGTACAGAAGTGTGATGTATTGTGCGGTACTGTGTTAAGCATATGAGACGTGAACAAAACAAAAGACTTAAGTAACAAACTTG